CGCCGCGCCCCTGGGGGGGGGTGGGGGGGTGATTTCTCACTTTCCCTTTCTCTGTCTCTGTTTCTCTCTCTGGCTAGCACACGTGCCCTATGGCAAAAAAAAAAAAAAAAGAAGAAGAAATAAGAAATAAACTTTACAAGAAACTTGGAAAAGAGTGACTCTCAATTTACATAAAGAACATGGTAGGAAAACCTCATCTTCTGACAATCCAGCTGTGTCTGGCGGTAACCACATTACTGTCCTGTACAGCACAGGCACTCGTGCTTTCACATCCAGTGCTTGGGAAACCACTTTTTAGAAACTTGACGGCAGATTAACATTGTAATGATGCTGCTTTCAAACTATATCAAAAGCCAGTTAAAGCATTTAGTGCACTGTGTAAATACATCCATAATTATAGGGAAAATGTACTGTTTTACCTCTTGGCTAGTAAAGGCAATAGTTTTCCTCCAGGCAGTTAAAGAAGGGCCCAAATTAGCTTCATCCTGTTACCACACAATTTCCTCTCATGTGTGAAAGGCAAAGTCTCAAGATATGCCCCCCATAGGCTTTTCTTTATTAAGCTTGCTGTAACTACACAACAGCTGCTTGACAAATAAAGGTCTGTGCCTTTTTAATAGCATCTAGCTGGAGAAACTACTAACAGCTCACACAGCTGAGTAAGGGTATTAGGAAAAAATAGAGAACTGCCCCAGATGTCTGCAGAAGTGAACCAAGCGGGACCAGTTACTTCTCATTCAAGCCTGCATACAAAACTTCAAAATGTACATACTCTCTGGTTCTTAACCAGATCACAGCCAAACGTTATAGATACAATTATACAGAGAAACAGAAAGTCTTAACATCGGAAAGCCAGAAATTGAAACATGAAACCCAGAGGAAATAATCACAAACTGAGGAATAACGGGGAAAATAAATAATGACTGATGACTCTATCCCTACAGTATGAGCTAGTGATGACTATTTGTCCCTTACAGTAAATGCCCCAAGTCAGAAAAAAATTTTTTTTTAATTCTATGAGACTTTTAATTATTTTGTCAATTGTTCTCCTCCTACCGACCTGCTTTTTCCCATAGAATTTGTTAGAGGCCAGGAAACATCATAAAAGTTGTTAGCACTGGATCTAATATGTATAAACAAACACCAAAGTTCTCTGCTCTAAAATGAATTTGTGTGTAAAGCTGACAATCACATTGGCAATTCAGCAACTTTTAATGCTTTTGTCCTAATTACAGGATGGTACGCTAAAAGACAGATAAATAATATCAACACAGCACAGTTAGGGTTGAGGGGGGGAGAAGTTAGAGAACATATATGGCACCAGTCTCAATTATGTTGAAAAGACAAACAGCCCAGTCACCTATACGCTGTCCTAAGTGGGCTGAGCCCACACAGAAGACCTTGTGCAATTCCCAGTCTACTCTAATGGTTGAGCATGGTGGTGTGTGCCTGAAATCCCGGGAACTCGGAAGGCTTAGGCAGGAGGATCACGAGCTTGTGGCTGGCCTGAGCAACACAGCGACACCCTGTCTAAAAAAATTTGCTGGGCATGGTGGCGTTTATCTGTACTCCAAGCTGAGAGGATGAGGCAAGAGGACAGTGACACAGCAACAGTCTGTCTTAAAAAATGAGCAAGACAAACAAAACGTACATGTGTTTGTCTAAGAGAGGAGCAGGGATAGGGGAGTTGAAAATACTTTTATGCTTTTTATGATTCTGTATTGGTTATGAATGTGAATCCTATGTAATCAAACCTTTGTAAAAAATGTCTGTAATGGCTGATTAGTGATCTCTGAATTGAATAAGGCATAAGTCTTAGAATACAATGGGCTTCTCTCCCCCTGACTATCTTGCTTGATTTGATTTGACTAATTTTTTAGTTTGATATAGGGTGTATGTGCTCACTGGAGAGAGAGAGAGAAAGAAATCATCCCCCATGGAGGATAGCCATACCGCAATCCCTTCCCCTACATTCTTCTTTCAGGATTTAGAGCATGCCCCCCCCACCCACCTGCATGTTTTTCAGGCCACAGGTTCCCAGACTCAAACTGCATAGTCAGTCATGTGGGATCCAGCTGCCTTAACCATCATGTCACCTGGCTTGCCCTATTTGATTTTATAATTTACTGTGTTTGAGGCATGTGGCAGGTAAGCAGTCTAAAATAAGGTAAACTCTAGAAGAAAGTCTGTTGGAAATGAGATTTTTTTTTTATAAAGAATGATTTTAACTTTTCCTTCCTTCCTTTCCCTTCTTTCTTTTAATTTGATCAGAGAGGGACAAAGTGAGAGAGAGAGCAAGCGAGAAGGAAAGTGAGAAAGCAAGCCGCCAGGTCCGAGACTTGAACCGTAGTTGGCCATGTGGGAGTCCAGTGCCCTTCACCACCACGCTACCTGCCAGCCCCGGAAATGGGATTTTAAAATAATTCACATATAATTAATCTAAAGTTGATTAAATTTCCTAGGCCTCCAATGCTAATGAGTTAGAGATCATATTAGGTTGTGAAAAGAGTCATGGTGTATTTTTTTTTTCAACAACTCAATATATATTCAAAATATTATGATCCAGGCTCTGGATCCTAAATTGCCTTTACATTGCTGCTTAGAGCAAACCTTCACAGAGTAAGTAACTGACGGCATGGAAAAAATTCCACCAACAAACTAAAGAAATATTGAAAATTTAATTAACACATTAATTTGCCCACACTATCTAAAGCTATATGACTCAAAAATGATTTCAAGTGACCTAGGCTGGCATCCTTATCAAAACTTAAAGCTATTATTCATGGTACAAGATAAAATTCATATTTCTCAGTTTCCCAAAATTTCTGTCTATTCAATCTACAAACTTCAAATTCAAAGATGTCAAAAACATCAAAAAAGAGTAATACTGGGCCATCGGGAAAGTCTTGATTTTCCTGATGACCCAACAGATGGAAAATAAGGCATAGAATATACACACATGGCTACATTTCAATTTCTTTTTACGATTATTTAACTTTATTTATTTGACCAGAGAGGGACAGGGGTGGGGTGGAGGTGGGGGTGGTGGGAGTGTGAAAGCAAGCCGCTAGGTCTGGGACTCGAACCGTAGTTGGCCACGTGGGAGTCCAACAGCCTTAACCACCATGCCACCTGCTGGCCCCAGCTACATTTCATTTTTTAAAAAGTGCTTCAGTTATAACATTTTCTTTCCTTAAACAGTCGAGCTTTAAATCATATAACAGCATTCTTAAATACATTTTAAGGTTTGTAAAGCCATGGGATATATACATACATGGTACACTTCACTTTTAAAAGGTGCTTACTTACTAGATTCTTTCTTTAAACACTTCAAGCTTTGAATCACAAAACAGCGCTCTTAAACATACAGAACATTCAGAAAATCTTCAGGTCTTTCTTTACCTAGATTCTGTTTAGACTAATGAGATTCAGTGCTATTTAGCAGACTTCAGATCTCTCAAGATTATTCTAGCAACACGGAAGGTTTGTGGCATATGATAATGTATAACACTGCTGAAGCAAAAATATGAAACATCCTAGTTGTATAGCTGGTGTGTAAGAATGAGAAAGCTCACTAATGAGAGTTAGCTCATTCCAACTCAGTTATGTTATAATCTACTTGCGAGAGCTGCTATGAATTCCATACATTTGAGATGCTCACAAAGATCAAGGTTTATCCCTTTTGAATGTCAAAAATCTACTGTACTTCTTATTAACTTTAAAAGACTGTTCTATGCCAGAAAACAACATTCACTTATGACCAATTACTCTAAAACAGGCTGATAGGCACCATTAGCACTGACCTTCCCCCACTCCCCGCACAATCACAGATTTATGGAAGAGAGCTGTTCCCATACCTGCCCTTCAGGTTCTCAAGTTCCCTGTGATGCAACATGCTCCGCATGTGTTCGTCCATCTCCTTCAAAATCAAAGACAGTAGGTTACATTAAGGGGGATTGGTTTGGGGGAAAAAAAAACTCTTCTGTTCTTACTTAACCAACAATTAAGGCTCAAGCTCCTATGTCAAATAGTTTTTGTGGTTATTCTTCTCAATTTGATGAAATCAGTTCCTTATTAAATAATCCCATGGCTGTGTTTTTGACATATTTCATTTTTAAATAAATGGAATTCTTGGATATACTCATATGTCTTTCCAAAAAGGTTAGAAAGCAGTATCTTTAGAAAGCAAAAGATTTAAGAATAAATTGTGTAGGTTAAATTCTATTCCATTGTAAAGAATTTACCAAAGCTTATTAAGGAGGAAAAAAAGAATTCTCAAATCACTTACCTTTTCAACTATTTAGTTA